AGCAAGGTTTGTGCATTGTACTGTCGAGAGCAAGCTTTCAAGGACTGTGTGTTCAACGCCCGGAGGTCCTTTTACGACAGAATATGGGTTACAGCACTGCGCTCCCATGGGATTCCGACCAGCTTTATTTAATGCAAGACACGGTTGGTTGACTGACAATGGCACAATGAAGTAAGCCAGTTAGAATGATTTATGATGCCTCGGGCGATCAAGTACTGTAGATCAGCCACTGCTGGATTTATACGGCTCGAGTACGCGCTAATACACAGATTATCAACATATGGCCTCGGAGACTGGATGAGCTTACATGCCAGTTCATGTTGACTAGGCATTTTCAATAAATGTTTGCTTCGAATTCCGAGGTTCCTTGCTTTTAATCTTGAGGTATGCTTTTAGACGTGACTTTGGGTTTGTTTGAGTCAAAAAATTGTGTATCTTCTCAAGTTCTGGGGAAATTTAGTGCCTGTAGTACTGCTTTGAACACGTAAACTCGTACTCGACAGGGCGTTCTTTTGGTATAAGAGCATTGCACTCATTAATTTTTATCTCGTAAGCATTTTTATATTTTAACAACAAATTTAACATTTTCGTAGACCTAGGTTTAAAATGTTGTGGGCTGTATTTTTGTGTTTTCAATCGATAATATTGAACGTTTTCCTGTAAAATTCACCCTATAATTGACGCGTACTCCTCTGTACCACTTGTTGTTTGTATTTATTTGTCACATTTTATTTGGTACAGAGCATACAGTACAAATTGTGAAGCTAATTCCATTTTGGTCCTCATCCGTCTGCTATCACGCGAAGCAGAAATCGAACTTCACGTGATTTTTCAAAACCTACGTGGCATCCCAACAATTACTCCATTCACACACAGAAGAAGGCAATGGCAAACCACTTCTGGATCATCTGCCAAGAACGTATATGAACAGGTCCCAATCCGAGAAAAGGGTGGAAGGATCCTGTTCGAAAATGAAACGTGGCATAAACCAGGGAAATGTTAAGGTCTGTAAATTTCGTCGAGAGAGAGAAAGAGAGAGAGTGAAGTTACAGGCCTTGAAATACACACAACCAGTAGAGGTGTTACAGGCCTTGAAATACACACAACCACACCACAGTTGTGTATATTATTGTTCATATTTTTCAGTTAAAGAGACAATATTATAATGTGTACAGTAATTTTATGTAAAATGTCCCATTCTGTCCCACGACTTCTGAACCAGAAGATCGTGTGTCTTTTTAATGGTTGTGATGAAGGCGGTGTTACAAGTCGGTATTGCTTAGAACCCAAAGTAAATAAGGGTAGTAGGGTAGAGCTAATATTACTATTTTGTGACTACTGTTAAGGACTGATAAAAATATAATTTCTCAGTAGTTTAGAGAAGCTTGGCCGGGTCTGTAGACGACGATGAGGATCGAACAGGTGATTCAGTGCTGGAAATCGGTTTCTGGAAAATGTCCATTGTATGACGAAAAATAATGATTTCGTCGTCTGCGCTGGGTTTTACAACTTTTCCGGTGAGGTAGATACTGTTGTTGTCAAAGTTAGGGTCAGTTAGGGGTCACTTCACGACACTTTCTTCCAATACGTATTTACCGGCGTTTGTTCATAGTGACGTCATTCCGTTGTGAGACAATGACACGTCATAGGAAATATCGTACGTTGCTCAGTCTCCCTCTCGCCCCTATCTGTCGAGCAGTGGTCAGCCGCATCGTTACCCGAAATTCCTATGAGACCCAGAATTTATGACACCGAATTAGAATCCCAGGAGACAATAAAGAAAGAAATTCTCAGTTGTCACAAAAGTATAACAAAACTAGTGGCACGACTCTTGAACTCAAAATATCTGCTAGTCGATCAGCAATAAGTAAGGGATGAAGGGAAGATGGCTGTGGCAAGGGGGGATCAAAACGACTTATGCGAT